ATAAAATTAAGCTTGAACTTTCGATTATGTCAAAAAGAATTTTCGATTCTGGAGCTGCCAACAGGATCTACTATAAAGCAAAAGCATGTTTCGATGTCCATCAAACAAAAAGTGGAATTGCTGCAAAAAATGGAATAAAGGCATGAAGAAAGTTACGGATAGGTGATTTGTTTCTCTAACCATTCCGAAATCTGTTTATCAATTTCACGCTGCTAGTGCGGGGGGGGGGTGCGACGTGCAGCGCAAATGAACTGGAAGTTGATTCGACTGTCAGCACTATCCTTATCTTTGCAGGGCAGATATTTTTATTTTATTCGGCTTATAATTCCTTACTAAATGTAGTGTTTCATGTCGATGTACTCCGTCTTTGATATGATTTAAATCAAATTCCTCGTCATTATAAATATCACGAATACACGTCAAATAGTTTTCTGGTTGCAATTTTCTAATTTTGACTATATGTAATGTATGCTTTACGCATGCGCACATTGAAAGAAACGTTTAATAAAGTAAACAAATAAATATTGAGGTTTTTTTTTTTTATTATTATTTTGTTACCTTTTAGATCATAATTGCTCTTTATTTCATAATAATAATCCGGAATCGCAGAAGTCCCGACGAATCCGGATTAAAGACTTTTGACTGTATTTGTTATTTATAGTACTATCTACTTCGCTTATACATCTATAACCCTCATATGCTTAAATCTATTTCCTTCATATGCTTAAGGCTTATTTGAGTCCCAATGAAATAAACTCACAATATACTTAAAGTAGCATTTATCCATTACTTATCTGCCATGCATTTGGGTGAGTTTTAAGCATAAACAACTTCTAGTTATCAGAATGGTTTATAAATGGCAAACATATGCACACCACATGGCAGGTAATGACCATGCTTTTTTGGCACATAGTAGAGAACATATTATTATCTGCGCCATACTAAAACAGCATGGCAGGTGCATAATGGAAAAGCACCCTTAAGGCTTATCTGAACAATGAATCAGTAACTCTAAATTCAAACAGCATCTTTTATAAAATTTAATTTTCTAAATTTCTGTTAAATTTCTCCTCGTCAATGCTTTGCAATCAAGCTTAACACTTTGCCATGCAGCTTGGCTTTGCTTTCATGCCAACTGTCAGACTTACCTACCAGCAAAAAATGCACTCATTTCCTAGCCATCATCCTGGAGTGCCATAGCCTTTACTCGTTTACTCCCCTTCCCCCTGGGCTGTCACACATTTGTGCCAGTGTTCTGGAAAATTTAAAAATCACTAGATGGTGCCCTGTGTCCATTACTTTTGAACTGAATATAGTTTTAGGAATTTGATCTTCAATTTCATCGCATTCTGCGTAACAATGGTGTCAGCTGTCGCAGAGAAGGATGGAAAGCGTAATGTAAACAAACAAATCTTTTTAACTCGAAACATGATATAAACATTCGCATTTTTAGTATCCCTTCAAATCACTTTTTAAATTTTTCCCCCTATGTAGTATTTTTTAGGATTAATATGTGGGGTTCTATTATACTTTGCATTGCTTTTATCGGTTATATTTTGCGTACTACCCTTTTTATTTCGGAAAGATTTGACTTCATTTTGAGACTGTGAGCAAGCATTATTCATCAGACAAAGGATATACTCAAATGGCAACTGAGCTAGTTAATGACATGAATGAGAATAATGATTCCTTTTCTTAGGAATTAGAAGGTAGTATTTCTAGTGATTCTCATATGGACATTTTGTCAGACACTGCGCTCACTAAGTGTCTGGCTTGAAGTTTACATGAAACATTTTGTTACTTCTTCTTGTAAATAATCTTTCTTACATTCTTTTTATTAATTTAAAAGTTTATTAAGGCATTTTATCAATTAAAACTTTGGAATAATTTGAATAGCACTTCCAAAAATCATTTCTTGAAGTAAGCAATTTTTTTTAAATATATTTTCATGTAAAGTAAAGGGAAAAGATTATTACCGTAATTTCCGGAAGAAACGCCGCGGCCTTTACGTGTTTAAAACTTAAATTTTCAGCGGGTGCGGCATTTAGGTGCACTAAAATTAAAATATTTCCTATGATGGTCATTGTACATAGTTTGGATGGCCTTGTCATTGTGCATAGACTGGTACTGTTCCCACACAAAAGACCACTCAGTTGCTTTTTGCGAACGTTATTTTGTTTACATTCTCTCCCTTGAACGGACCTACATGCCTTATTCACCCTAAACGAGATCTCAAAACAATAACATTTTCCCCCCTTTCAAATCAACATTCTCATCAGTTCGAATAGTCTCTCTCCTCTGCCATTCGATGAATCTTCCAGGACCCATCCTCTCCCCACCCCTGCCTTTTCTGCAATTTTTTTCAAAGGCGGACACGACTCCACCTGCCTCGCAATAACAAACTCTGACATATTTCCCCTTCAGCATGAATCGATTTTTCTTGGCATTCTGCCAGATACAGATCCCATCAGTTTGGGTACAAGTACTTGTTGTATAGTTTTTAAGTAAGAAGGGAGCGGAAAATTTTTGAAAATGGCACCTAAACAGCACAGAAGCTATACTGCTGGTTTTACGCTTAATGTAATTTCACGTGCTGAACAAATTGAATAGAGCAGCAGCTCGAGAGTTTGAAGTAGACGAGAGATGCATTCGACATTGGAGAACTGAAAAAGAAGAACTTAAAAATATGCCACAACAGAAACAAGACAAAAGAAGTGGTACTGTAAGGTGGCCGAATCTAGAGGAGACCTTGCAAACTGGATAAAGGAGCAACGAGGAAAGGGAATGGCAATTTCGACTGTAAAAATTCGCTTACCAGCAACATTTATAGCAAAACAAATGAATATAAATGATTTCAAAGGAGAGCTTTGCTGGTGTAACAGATTTATAAAATTTAGATTTATAAAAAGAAAAAATATTTCTGTGCGTACTAGAACAACAGTCGGGCAACAATTGCCAATGGACTGGCAGTATAAAAAGTCATCTTTTCTAAAATATGTGACAGCTATTATTGACAAAAAAAAAAAAAAAAAAAAAATTCTTCGGTCGCAGATAATAAAAATGAATGAAATGCCGTTAGCTTTCGCTTTCGACTCTGCAAACAAACAAACTGTTGATGAAAAAAAATGGTGCAAAAACTGTATCTATGTTTATGACGGGGCATGAAAGAATGTCATTTACACGTGTGTTAGCTAGTGCCGCAAACGGTGACAAGCTAAAGCCGATGATTATTTTTAAACGAAAAACTATTACGAAGGGAGATGGTATGTCATACATCAGGACTTAGGTTGAGTTTTTGCATCTATACAGCCCACGACGATGTCACGCACAATTTAATCTATTGTGGCGTTTACGCTGATGCGGCGTTTCTGTGTAATTTTAATTTTTTTCCTGCCATTTTTCTCGAGTGCGGCGTTTACGCTGATGCGGCCTTTCTTCCGGAAATTACGGTAAATGCTAATTTTAAAATATATGATAGCTTAAGTAATAATCTAAAATAGTACAAAAAATTATGTCGTCACAATGAAAACTTTTTTTTTTTAATTCTTTTTTAAGTTAGACTTAATGGATGTAAAACCTCTCTCCTGTGGGATGATTCCTTCCAACTCCCATCCATCCCAAAATTTATTCGATCTGTCTTAAACGAAGGCACGCCGTCTCAAAAGGGTTAAGTTTGTGATCATTGCCAACTGTATTGCTAGCATAAAAGGTTACCATGCTGTTTAATATTAATTTATTGATATTTAAAAACAAAAATTCTTTTAGACACTGCTACATGAGTCTCTTCTCAAGTTGCTGGACTCAAGTCATATGCTGATGAAAGCGAAAGGAAAATGTGATGATGAAAGCAAAAAATAATAAAAATTATTCACCAAGTTGGCTTGAAGGTAAAATCAGGAATTTATTGGGTCAGTCCATAAGTTCGTGCGCATTAAGAGTACACGTGGAATTCACTGTGACACATTTATTAAAACAATATAATTTTCAATTTGTTGAAACTTGTCATAGTTTGACTAACATATTATTCAGTTCATCACCAACTTTCATAAATATTGAATGCATTTTAGTACCCATAGAAGATGAATATAGATAATCAGTACAAACATGCTGTGCTACATTTTTTATTTTGCCAGGTTTGCAGTGATAAAAATTATTAATGTAAGGACTGCCCAGAAATGATTTAAAAAATTTAAAGTTGGAAAAGGCAGCATTGATGATGAACCCTGTTCAGAACATTTTGAACTGTTAGAACTGAATCAAATGATTAATTCAGAAGTTTATAGTGAACAACTTTGTCGTCTACACTCAGAATTGATCCAAAAAGTGCCCACAATTGGTGAATATCAAGAAAGTGTTATTTCACCATGATAACGCTAGACCGCATACGGCTCGAACAAAGCTGCAAAAAATTAGTGAATTTAATTGGGAGCTTTTTGCCACATCCTGCTTACTCCCCAGATATTGCCCCAAGTGATTTTCACTTATTTCATGCCTTACAAAATTTTTTACTGGGAAAAAAATTAAATTGTAAGTAGGATGTACACAATGAACTTTCAAGTTTTTTTTTGCATCAAAATTAGTCTTTCTACAGCAATGGCATAAAAAAGCTGCCTGTAAGATGGCAAGACATTGTAGATAATGGAGGAAAATATACAATTGATTAAAATGTTAAATTGTGTTTTTTTATATTATTTTAAAATTTACCAAAAAAAAATGCGCACAAATTTATGGACTGACCCAATACTTTGACAGAATGTTATGGTTTGAGATTTATGTCGTGGAACAGCATACGCTAGTCTCAGAATATAGTTCTTTATCCATTTTCACAGGATATTTCTTTAAAAAAAATAAAGATAATTGCTGGTTGTGGGGAAGGTCCAAATATTAGATGTGTGGATTTTGGGCTTTGTACTCTCTCTATAATTTTTTTAATGAGCTTTCACACTAGCATAAGCTATTTTAATAAATATATTTTCATGTGAGTTTTAAAATTATTTTACCTTTGATTTCTATTTTCAGATGATGAATTCCAAAATGAATACCAAAGGCTCTCTACATCAGAAAATTGAAAATTTACAACAGCTTCCAAGATATACTATAATAATTTAAAAAAAGGATGAGTTAACAGATATGTGATGTACTTCTAAAATAACAATATATCAATCAGGTAGTTAATTCATATAAACTTTATAATAATTTCTGAATCTTAACGATTACCAAAATGTCTTAATGGTTAAAAGTAATGCCCTTTTATTACTCTACTCCTATTCCCTATATTTGAAACTAATGCAATTTGTATTTCAGAAATCAATAAATTTAAAAATGGTCACTAGTAAACTATTATAATTCTATCAGAAGTACTGTGAATAGATTCTATCTACTAAAACTGTATAATAATATTAGACTAATTACATGAATAATAATTACACCTTTGAGTGTAAAACATTTGGAAATTTTAAAAAATGCAATGATATACAGTCAAAGTCTTTAATCCGGACTCGTCGGGACTTTGGTGATTCCGGATTATCGGTTTTTCCGGATTACAGACCATCAATTCAAATCTAGTAAGATGGCATGCAGAAATTATAAAATTAAAAATATAAAACTGTAATTTATGAAATAAAGAGCAATTATGATCTAAAGGGTAACAAAATTTACAAAAAAAACAAAAAAAAAAAAAAAAAAAAAAAAAAAAAAAAAAAAAGCTTCATATTTATTTGTTTACTTTATTAAACATTTCTTTCAATACGCGCATGTGTAAAGCATAACATTACGCATAGTCGAAATTAGAAAATTGCAACCAGAAAACTATTTGACGTGTATTCATGATATTTATAACGATAAAGAATTTGATTTAAATCATATCAAAAACAGAGTACATCGAGATGAAATACTACATTTAGTACAAAAATATAAGCCAAATAACATAAAAACATCTGCCCTGAAGATAAGGATATTGCTGACAGATCAACTTTCAGTTTATTGTGTGCCGCGACGTTTCCGCCTTCCCTGCAGAGCAGGGTAAATTGATAAACATATTTCGGAATGGTTAGAGAAACAAAGGATATGCCTTTATCCATTTTTTGCAGCAATTCCACTTTTTGTTTGATGGACATCGAAACATGCTTTCGCTTTGTAGATCCTTTGGCAGCTCCAGAATCGGAAATTCTTTTTGACATAATCGAAAGTTCAAGCTTATTTTTTATAAAATTGCTCTAACAGTCTGCAAAAAATAATAAGCCGGATCCAATTCGAAGATTAAGGAACAATGCAATCTGCAACATTAACTGAAATATATAATTAGATAATTTTAGCTTAGCTTATACCGTCCGTTATACATTAAAAGCGCATGCGTAAATCTATTATGTGCATGCGTAAACGCATATGCACATGTGCAAATGCATTATGCGTTTATGTATGTGCAGAAAGTTTGTAGCTTTGAGGTCCGAATTATAGATCATTTCGGATTATGGACGTCCGGATTAAAGACTTTTGACTGTATTTCCTTATACAAAATTTAAAATTTAATTTTTAATAATTATATTTTAAAATCGAAGCTAATTTTAATATTCATCAAAGACAAGTATAGACAATAAAAAAGGAAACACCTTGGTAGGAAAAAAAGTAAGTTTAGCATTATTTACTTCTGCAAGGAAATTTACTTCTTACTGGTTACAAAAACACACTTTAAACTAACTTTAATGTTTTTATTTATTTCTAAACAATAGAAATAAAATAAAATAAGGAATAGAAATTGTTATTGTTCTCAAATCCAAAGGTTTCGTTTTCTTCATCAGTTAATTCTTTAAGAATCCAAGCAAAATCAGCTGGTTGCACATATTTTTTTTGCCATGAAAAATGATATGTGCATTAAAAACTGAATTTATCATAAATTTTGCTCATATGTACATGCTGCAAGGTTAACCCGGCTGTAACTTAATGAAAAGAATGAGAGTGAAATTCATTCTAAACTTTAATTTATAAAAATTTTTTAAATTGTTATGTGGTTAATTTGTGTATATAACTTGTAAATAGTGTAAATTTTAGTTTCTTTAGTTATGTTATTTGTTTGTTTTATTATCTTTTGTTTGCATCAAATTATGCTTCTGATCAAGGATTGCACTGCATGGGACGTGCAGTCTTGGGAGGGGCAGTGGTACGAAATGTCCAGCCGCGGTAAGATAGCTTCCCTGCAAAGCAGTTTTAGGGCTGCCAGAAAATGGCAGAGGAACACAGTGTTGCCATATTTGGAGAGAAATCACCCATTTGGCTGCATTTGACAATATGTTATAGACAGATGGAAAACCTTCCGGAATGAATTCTTACTGGTTTAGCCCAAAATGTTCTCGAACACAAACCAAAAGCTATAAAAAAGTCAGTGAGTGCCGAGTTGGTCGACAAGTGCACCAAAAGAGTCTCTTAGTGTATTGCGAGTTAGTGCAATATAGAGTTTTATCCTAGAGTGTGCTGAGCTCCGGGAATGACTGAACAGAGGAGTCGAGAGCTGTACTCTAGTGTAGTAGAGTGCATCGCATGTTGTAGTGTGGAGAGTCTCGAGAGTAAGTGGAGTTCCGAGAATGACCAAGCATAGTCGGGAGCTGTACTCTGGTGCTTTGCCATGAAGCTCTCTTCACCGTTATAACCTGGTAGCCTGAACGCTGTGTTGCTGATTGTTACAGCATGTTTATAGATGTTCTTTGATGACTGTAAATGTGCTATTGGAGCTGTCTTGAATAACATTGGCCAATAAATTGTGTTTCAATACTTCATCAAGTGTAGTAGTTATTCACACCAAATCCACAAACCCTTAACGTAACATGAAAAGAAAAACGTAACAATATGAATCTGTAGGGTGATAAAAATTTTTAAATCCTGCTGAGTAGTGTTACTCTGTCTCCAACTATCCTACTGTATATTAAATCTTTTTTTCCTCCCCCCAGATTTAAAAAAAGGCCATACTTAGTTTTAAATATGGCCTTTTTTATTATTAGTATAAATTAACTTAGTATCATATTTATCTAAATATCAAATTCTGGCAACTTAAAGATATTATTTCATAAAGAATGCAAAATGCAGAAGAACTTTTAACATACATAGAACAGAATGCACTGCTCATTCTGTGTAATACTTTCAATTTTTTCTGTCTTAATATGCTACAATTTCTGAGAGAATAAATATACTACATGAATAAGATAAACTAAAATCCTTTTTCAATATTTTAAATCATATTAGAATGAGGTGAGAAAAAATAAATTAATAAATAAAAAGATGTTACTCTTCTAGATGTGAGTAATAATATTTTTAAATTCAAAGTCTTAAGAATAGAAATCATTTCCAATAATTGACCTTTAATTGCTTAATTTTAGCTTTAGGATCAAAGCATGATATAAACAAATTTGACTACTTTTGTTGATATTTTCATTTTTAGAAGAAAAATATTATAAATAAATTATTTAAAAAGGAGAAAAAGCGCAAAACATATACCTCACAATGCTTCTGATACGCATTTTTAAACACATGAATTTTATCCATTGAAATCCCATGAGGTAAAGAAGATGGAGTAACATCAATTTCAACATCTGGAATTGCAGTAGATGCATCACCTAAATAAACTTGATGTGATTTTGGCTGTGACTGACATATACGTTTTTTATCTGACTCATTGCTAGATTCAAAATGCTTCTTTTCATTACAATTATTATTACTCTCTACTTTCACATTATGTTCTGTTTTTAACCTAAAAACATAAAAATAATGTAATTAACTTATATAAACTTTCATTGTGCACATAATTAAGAGTATGTCAACTTGTAAGAATTAAATTTTTTATAATTAGTTTCAGAATGGTGAAAATTACATTTAAGGTACAAGATGAATAAAATGACAATATTGTACAGTTCATTTTAAATTTCCTTGCAAAATGTATAACTTTCTTCCCAGCAGATAATTTGAAAATATCAAAAAATTCAAGAAAGGATAATAAATAGACGCATGTTATATGAAACATATAATAATCAAAATAAATTTAAAAAAATAAAAATTTGAATTCTGCAGAAGGCTTAGCCCAATTCTACAGATAATTTGGGCTAAGTCTTCTATAGAACAGCACGTAATGGAGTATTTTCAATGTTTGAGGACTGAATATACTGATGAGTATATTTAAAATTTGAAACCATGTACAGTTGATTGAAAGGGTGCAATAAAAGACATTGGTGAATGGCATTACATCATATTCAGTTTTAGTGAATTTATGTAGCACCAAGTTCATAAATAAGGTGACAGTATTGTTGTTATTTTATATTTGATGAGAGACTTTTAGTCTTTGGAATGATTACTTAATTATAACCAATTTCTTAATCAGATAATCTCAAAACTTGAACTTAAGAGTTATTTAAATTTTTATATGCAATATTTATAAATTGTATCTCTTCACAATCTAATTAAATTGAGAGCAATCTATTATTATATGACTAAATAAACAGCAATCTGTTCCTTCAAATTTCCACTGGAATTGCTAGCACAGTTGGGTCTACCAACTTTCATGATCACTGAGAAAATATGCAAGTACCAATACTTCTATGATAAACTATTTGACACTACCATGAATATTTTTGTTCACTTCTTAAAGCAAGTTTTCTTATAAATAAATAAAGCATGTTAGAATTTAATACACAAAACATAGGAAAATAATTAATGCATAGGAAATATTTAAGTTTTAAAAATATAGGATAAAAATTTATTACTATATGCTGTGAGCAAAGTTCATTAAAATATTATATATTGTTTTTTCGTGGTAAGATTACTATCAAAAACATAAAATTAGTAATTTCTTTCTCAGCAAATAATTATAACATGACTATTAACTAAATATTTCACTCCTGTATTAATCCTTAAAAAATAATCAATTAGGAGTTAATTTTAAATAATGCTTTATTAGCACCTATCATTAACATACAGAAAAATGATCACAACAGAAAATTGAATTAAATAAAATAGTTTTTAAATTTAGGCCATGAATTCAAACAATAACTGCTCCCTTCTGCAGCTTGCGTTGAACTGAGTATTTTCTCTATATCATCGGTAGAGGGCATTGCCGATGATATTCATTTGTTAGAGTCTTCCTCCCCCCTGGCTACGAAGACATCTCGGTGAGCAGCCAGAGGAAGAATTGTGTTATTGGTTCTTTCGCACAGCATTCTTAGAAATGTTCTTCCTTGGTCTCCATTTCCAAATGGAATGCTTCTTTGTGAAATTACTCAATGGTCTCGAAATCTCTGCAAAATTAGGAATGCAGCATCAATACCAGCTGCAAGTCTGAAGGAAACTCTGCACTTGCTTCACATTCTTTGGTGAGGGAATATGTTGAATGACTTTTACTTTGGCAGGGTCTATTTCAATCCCAAAACTTGTGATGTAATATCCGATATATTTTACTTCAGAACAAGCAAAATAACATTTGTTTTGATTAACATGAAATTTGAATTTTAAGAGTCAATCAAACACTAAGCACAAATCTTCGAGATGCTCCTCAAAAGTAAATATATCTCATCACAATAATATCACCAAAATAAGTAAGAGTGTTGACCTTTAACCCATTCTGGAAAATATCCATTAATCTTTGGAAAGTGGCTGGTGCCGTCTTCAATCTAAAAACATCCTTGTAAATCTACAGATTCCAAACTGACATACAAAGATAGTTTTGTCTTGGTCCGGAGGGTACATTTTAATTTAATGATACCCTGGTTTTAAGTCTATGGTAGACAAGTATCTAGTTTGCTTTGCATTATGAAGAAGTTCATCCATAGGAGGCAGTGGGTATGGATCACAGTCACAGAATTCAGTTTCCTATAGTCAATACATAATCGAAAGTCATCGCTCGCCTTGGGAACTAAAATAACGGATGCTGTGTATGGTGACTCACCTTCTTCGATTAAGCCTGATGCAAGAAGTGCATCGATTTCTTTCTTCAAAATCTCCTTTCTTGCCGGAGATAGCCCATAAAGAGTTGTAGCCACTGGAGGTGAATCACCTGTATTGATTCGGTGCTCGATGTAAGGAGCTGGTTCTTTCCCCAGAGAGAACATAGTTCCATATTTTCCTAATTAGGCATTCAATTGTTTTCGTTGCTCTTCAGTTAGATTTTCTCCTTCTTCTGGACGTAGTAGGTAAGGACGTAGTTAACATGTCACAGGACTGGACTTGAACTCCAACAAATGGAAAACATTTATTTGGATAGTCACCAAAAAACCACTTTTGCTCTCAAATATTTAAAACTACTCCAGCTTCCTTTAGGAACTTTTCTCTAATCAGTGTTTGATTACCTGTAGCAGCAGGAAGAGCTATCAGTGTCAAAAGGTAGGTCCGCCCTTCAAGGCCAAGTTTTACACAAGTTGTGTAAACATCTTTCGTTATTTGACTGCCATCGGCGAGACAAACAGTGCAAGAGGATTTCACAAACTATACCCCATCTTCTTTCAAGATTTGGTATAGTTTCTCGTCAGCAATTGAATGACATGCTCCACTATCTGCACAAGCTGTACAATATACTCCATCGATGGAGATATTCATCCCTGGAATTGTCTTAGTGTTGCCTAACTTTTGTATACAAATATTGTCGTAAAGAGCTGAGGATGAACTCATAGAGTGCTGAAAATCTGGGCATTTTGATTTAGTAAATCCTGCTACATTGGTATATGTCTTCTTCACTGGCATGGATTTTGGGATACCACCTTCAGAATTGGAAGTTTTCTTTTGAGTTTGAGAGACTGCAGCTCTGCTTTGATCATTACGTAAACAATTGTACATGTCCAACTTTTCAGCTAATTCTGCAGGAGAGTTTAAGTTCAGCCAAATGTCCAAAAACGTTATCTCTTATTTCGGAGAAACTCTCTTTTTCATTTGGGCAGCCATAATGAGCTGCTTCAAATCATCAATTTTTGTAATATTTAATTCTCTAAGCCAATTTTTAAAATAACTGGTCAGCTCAAAGTAGAAATCATGCCAAGCACTTTCTCCTTTCTTCTGATGTAGAGTGAACAGTTGTCGAAATTTATCTTTTATGCTTATATATCTTTAGAAGCATTTCCTTCATCTTTTGGTAATTTCTTGATTCCTCTTCTGGCTCATAAGCAATCAATTTTCCAATTTCTGTCAGTAATGATCCCACTAAATACGGAACTTAAGTTTCTTCTGGAACCTTTTAAAACTTCAGTTGTCTCTCAAAAAGATTTAAGAACAAGGCCATATAATTAACCTTAGGATCATATTTAGGTAAAATTCTCTCATGATCCCAATTGGTTTTTCCAACTTCAATAACAAGACCTGCTGTAGTGGAGAGAGGTGTCTTCTGAACTTCAAGTTGAAATTTCAAACATTCCAATTCATAAGCTCACTCTTCTTTTTTTTCCTTTGGCTAATTCTTGAGCAATACGTTTTAATTCAGCTTGTTTCTCTTCCTCAAGTCTTTCTTCTATTATACCGGGTGGCCATAATGAAACTGACAGTGGTCTGTAGCGCGATCTATTTGCGAGAATGATGCCACATTTTGTAGGAAGATTAAACAAGACGGGGGAAGAAGGATTCCACGAAAAAACAAATCAGTTCCAAAAGTCACTGCTAGGGGAATATTTGGCACTGTGTAATAGAAAATAGAGTGTTAACAAATAAAAATCAATATGGAAATTACCTTTTATTTTGCATTCAAATGAGGTTCAATGTGGCTGCCATTGTTGTGGACCACATATTGCATTCTGTGCACAGTATGCACAACAGCAGAAAGTAACATGTCTGCAGGAATCTCCCGTACAGTCTGTGATATGCTATCCTTCAACGTAGCCAAGTCCTGGACCACTCTTTGATAGACCTTGGATTTAAGGTAACCCCATAGCCAGAAGTCGCATGGGGTAAGATCAGCCGACCAAGGTGGCCATGCAGTTGGAAAGTAGCAGCTAATGACTCTTTCTCTTGTGAATTTCTGTCGTAGCATCTGTTGCACCCGTACAGCAACGTGTGGAGGGACTCCATCTTGCATGAAAATGATTTCCCCCAGGCACTGTCTTTGCTGAAGTGGCGGAATGACAAAGCTGTTCAAAATGTGGCGATATTCATTTTTTTGTGCGTTCTAAAAGCACGTAGAGCGGCTGGCGCGTTGCACTGGTTGAGGTAAAAGAATTTTACCAGTAACGCACGCTTGACTAAAAAAGGAGACATTGCACATAAACTTTCAATCCGATTGATTCAAAACATAACACATTGCCTTTTAAAACCCAAGCAGCTGGCACTGTGCGAATGAATGTAACGTGAAATTTGAATAAAGAACTTCTTCTTTTGCTCAGCGTACGTGATATTGCAGATCATGAGACTTTATCGGTGTTTATGTAGATTTCACGCTTTTTAAAAAATGTTGCCATATTGCACTTGAACTAAATTAGAAAATGTGCATAATAAAAAGTAATTTTATTCCGTATTAATTTGCATTTGTTAACATTCTATTTTCTATTACACAGCGCCAAATATTCCACTAGCGGTGACTTTTGGAACTAATTTGTTTTTTCGCAGAATCCTTCGTCCCCCATCTTGTTTAATCTTCCTACAAAATGTGGCGTCATTCTCGCAAATAGATCGCACTACAGAACACTGTGAACACAGTCAGTTTAATTATGGCCACCCGTTATTAGTCAAAACATTTTTCACTAATTCTTCATCATAATTATCAGATTTTGTTATGAGTTCTACATACAATTAAATTGTATCCCTTTTAGATTGTCAGCCACAACCAACTCCAATTCAAGGCCAAGAAGTTTTAAATCTTCTTTTCTCCCCCTACACAAAAAAGAACATTTTGTCTTTTGTGAAATTTAAACACTGTTGTAAAGTCTCAGCTAAGTTTCACACTATGACTGTTAAAGCTTAATATTATAATTTTATACTTGTTTAAATTTTAAACGTATTTAAATTTGTCCATCAGTTCTTAGATATCGTTGATAATTTTAAGCACTTAGGGTCATACAAAAGAAATCAACTTCGCAATAATTGGAAATAAGTACTACTAATTCACAATACTTATAATTCACACATTTGTCAAAACTTAGTATCAATTAAAATTCTAAAACTACAAATAATCAAATATTATTCAATAGTTTGAAGTCAAGATTACTTATCTTAATTATACACACTGGGGTAGATGTTACCAATGTATCCCTGGGGTAAGAAGATCCATTCCTTTCATAAAAGTCAACAAAATGGCTATCACAATAATTTATATGGAGTATCCTGAAACAAGAGTAAATTCGATGCGTTCTGCAAACTCTATACTGCTGCCCCCCCCCTTCCGCCCATCGGGTGAAATTTTTTCTTGTATTAATGCTTAAAAATCAATCAATTAGGAGTTAATTTTAAATAACATTTTATTAACATCTAACATATCATACAGAAAAATGATCAAAACAGAAAATGGAATTACAAAAAATAGTTTTTTTAGAGCATGAGTTCAAACAATAACACCTCACTTCTGCAGCTTGTGTGCGCTGAGCTGAGTATTTTCTCTACATCATCGGTAAAGGGCGTTGCCGACGACATTCATTTGTTACACTGCTATATAATTAGCGGATTAAAAGACAAGCAGAGTTTAATATGCAAAATAATTAATTTTAGATGTTTCTGTTAACATGTGGCACTATAAAATATTTTGCATTACAGTTTATAATTTTAACTGTAAAAGCTAGTAGAAAGAATACGGAATAAGGAAATAACTTACCTGCGCATGAACGGATTATGTCGATATGTTGTGTTGACTATATCTTCCATAGCTTTATTTATGGATGATGAAGGCTTCAATCGTATACCATAATAATGATATTTAGAATTTCCCCTAAAAATATTTAAAAATAGTTTACATCTTTTTAATAACAACTATTAAACAACTAAAGTATCAACTAAAAATTCTTCCGCTTCTACAAAGTTCATGCATCTCTAACATTTTTATTGATGCTAATTGTTTCCTTCTTCAGAATAATTTTATAATTTCGCTTAGATTATTATAAATTTATGATTATTTCTATCATTCCTGCCAATAAGTGTTTACTTTCCATATGTGTTGATTAAAATCTGGAACTTTTGAAGTTTATCATATAAACAGCTTCAATTTACTGCATAAGCTACTAATAGTATTTAAGCATTGCTTTGAAGGTTATAGTACAGTGTATATTCTCAGAATCGAGCAATACAATCTTAAATTTCAAATACAGATTTTTCGTAATTCAGCTTAGGCAATAGTAATAATAATTAGTAATACAGATTTTTCAGTTATTCAGCCTTGGTAACAATAAATGTTTTCTGAACTGGAGTTATTAATTCATGCAAATTTATTATACTTTTCAAAAAAAAAAAAAAAAACAGTGTAAAATGCTATTGAATTTAACTGTTAAGAGTTCACTTTAACGTTCAGTATTACAGATTAAGCAACAAACTAATTTGAAATTTAAGATTATAGTGGAAGACTGTGTTGATTTACAAAAGGTTTTAATTCAAAACAAAACATTTTCTTATACAAGAAAATAATAAAATAGGCAAATTTGATCATTCTATAATTAAATAATTCACTTCTTTTTTTTTCAGGGGGGGGAGAAAAATCAATCAAGGATGATGGAAATGGAGAAGAAAAAATAGTATTAAAAGGCAAACAATTAAAAAATATTGCAAGCAAAGTATTTTTTTTTTAGGGGGGGAGGGTAATTCTACTTAGAAAGAAAAAGAAATACAGGTGTTATTTCTTTTATCTAATTTGTTAAACTAATAATTCAGTTCTTTATTTAGAAGAAAAATCAATCAAAAATGACTAAAAACTATTGCAAGTGAAATGTTTTTTTTGGGGGGGGCGGGAGAGGAGGATATTTCTATTTAGGAAGAGAAAGAAATACAGGTGTTAAGAAATGCAGGTAAGTTTTCAAAAAACTATTATAAGAACTCAGATGTTTAAAACCATTTAGAATTTTGAAAAAATGTGAAGTGTCTTTAAATATTAAATTCTAAAGAAAAAAAAAGCAAAACTACATAGCTTCTGGTAGGTAATAATTACTGTTTTTTCTAGGATTGCTGTATTTTGAAAATCAACTTCCAGATGTGAGGGAATCTCAAAGGCTGGTCTCTACTACAAATTTGTTGAATGGGATAAAACTAAAATCATCAACACACACCAGTATATAAACAGCCTTCAAAATAGAAAAGCATTAGAAACTGCCACAAGACCATGTTTCGAAAGTAAACTCTTTTCAGTATGTCTTACATTTTCACCTCAATTCTAAAAAACACAGCAATCCTGCAGGGAAGAATAATAAAAGAAGGGGAACTTGATTAAGCCCTCAGTCCGTTTCCAACTAATGAAGTAGAGTAGCCATCTGTAAATACTTCTAACCTATTAAAGTTTAAATGTGACTTTTAGCACATCCATCTAGAATATTTCATTTTTCTATGTATATTTTTTCTGCATTAAATTTTTATTTAGATAACTGATATTATTAAATATGTAATATTTAGAATTGTAGCTCATTTTACCCAAAATGTTCCCTGAAACAATAATTTAATGTAATCTCTATTGAGACCTTTCATGCAAACTGTCAAGCAGATGTGCCAGCTAGCACACTAGTGTGACAGAGCATTTTCTCATTCACCCCTGCCCATCATACATTCATGTCAGAGTTTTAGAACTAATATTTTTGTCACAATATGGCATTATAAGTCTATACGATTTAAACTTCTACTTGAAATGAGACAAAGATGACAAATGTTATAGGAGATTGTTCCCCCCCCCAGCTACTTAAGCATTGGAAATGTGGGTTTGCAGTCCAGTTTCTAAACGAGAATTATACCTTGTGTATATGAAATGTTTCTTTTTTGAGAGTTACAATGTCAAAGCATAAAAAATTTTTAATAAATTATGTGAATCTAAATTGGGTTATATATGAAACTTTATCATTTATACCAGAAAAGACACACAGTTAGAAGAAACTTCAGGATTATGCTGGGAAAGGGTTGTTAAATCTCTACTTGAAGAACTTTCTAATCAAGGGTAACATTTGGACAGTTTAACCATAAGTGGACTTTTGAACTTTTATTTATTTTCAACTGTTTATTTAACTGCATTATTTCATACACCTAAAATTGTAGCTTTAACAGTAAACAAACTGTATCCATGTAACTGTAACCATATTTGCATCTTAGTTAATAATGTAGTCTCACTCGTGCTTATCGAGCATGCAGTCTTGTAACTTGTTTTTATTAAATATAAAGATTGTTATGTTGCAAAGACAACTACTGATTTATTTTATTAAATGAATTACTTCTCTTCCAGTAAAATGAACACATTATGACCTAATACGCTACACTGGTGTACCCGCTATAGCAGAGTAGTGACTCATAAATGAAGAAACGAGCATGCTTTGATCATTATAGGCATCAATGTGCATCTAGAGCAGCGGTTACCAACTGGTGGCCCATGGATCACTGGTGGTCCGTGATAACCTTTTGCTGGTCCACAGAAAAATTGGGACATTATTTATATTTTTATGAAGATTCAGTTTAAAAAATACGAAATATGAAATATAAAATATAAAAATATGAAACCATAATTTATATAAGAGCAATTATGATCTAAAGGGTATCAAAATTTACAAAAAAAAAAAAAAAAAAAAAAAAAAAGCCTATTATTTATTTGTTTACTTTAGTAAACATTTCTATCAATGTAAGTTGTTTAAGTTGCTTCGTTTTTTGTGCGAATACTTTCTCTTTAATTCTATAAACACACATAATTTCCTGTTCAGTTACAAAGTTCCACTGTTCAAGTCCTGTACTTGCTGTGTCGAGAATACCGACTAACTTGTCAATCGAAATTTTTCATTTTCAATAACGTTCTCTGTTACTTTCTTCGCTATCGGAAGCGCACGTGGGTAAACGCTTTACTGCCTTTATGCGCATGCAGCGGATGAACGCATCAAACGCGCATGCGTAAGTTTGTGGCTTTGAGGTCTGGATTATAGATTATTCCAGATAATGGACGTCCGGATTAGAGACTTTGTACTGTACTTATCAGTTTTTTAATTTAATATTACTTAAAGCTGTTAATTATACACTTGCAATTTTGCATGTTTTATATTTTCTAAACAATAAAATGAGATTTTATTTTACTTTTGTTTTGCGAGTTGTTTTAGTTTCTATGAAACAAAATTTGATTGCCAATACAAAAAATAAAAACACGTTTTGTGTGGAATTCGCGCTGCCACACGGAACCTGTTAACCCTCTCAGTATTACGGCCGGAAAATTCCGTACTGAAGGTTGCCTTCCACATTCATTATACATGAAAATTTCTGCTAGCTTTTAATGTATCTGATTTCAGTTTAGATGTATATTGGAAGAAAAGGAATCAAGGTACAAAATGAAAGAGTCATTTTTTAATTAAAATCAAGAAAATATCACTTATTCATGACATTTTGAGGAACTTTGAAATTTCAGGGCTAAACCCGTAATGCTCAGAGGGTTAAAAATCTGAGAGTTTGTAACATGCAACAACATAAATTGGGAATCTTTTGTATCATCATGTGCTTTATGTGCTGAGAGGCTGTTGCAGTTCAACTTCGTTGTTTAGTTTGCTCATCTCTTTCTTTCTTTTCTTTTTTTTTTTTTTTAAATAATAATATACATATATTTTTTTAATGTGGCAACCAGAAGTCGCCATTCAAAACTATTATTGTATTCTCAAATATATTCTCATCACTTTAAAGGCATATGTATTTTGCTATTTTTTATTTTCCATTTTTCTTTGTTTTGTGTGTATAATAGTATTCTTTCTTGGAATTTTTGCATGTGGTAAGACAACTCAGTTATGGGCTTGCTAGACCCTCTCAAGTATCTGTCATTTCTGAAAAAATTTATTATGATTACGACATGCAAATTTTTTCATTCTTTTTATGTTAGGTTTTGTTACACTTTGTGAGGTAAACCAGATACCTATTGCACGTCCTAGTTTACCATTTTAGCCTCCAAAAGGGCTATGTAAGAATCAGTATTCCCTAATCCGCCACTGTGGCGGATTACGGATTACCGATTCTTACGGAATACTTCTACAAAATTCAAGGGCACACATGCACGGTGGCAGTGCCACCATTTGTATGTGCCCTTGAATTAACAGGGAATACCCTTATTTTTTAATCATATACGTAGTCGCTGCTCATAAAGTGCGTACATTCTGTGAAATTGCTTCGCAAACAAAGTACTGTGATTGTTTTCAAATCGTTTTCTTGTTTATAACTGCTCTAAAAAATAGGATTATTATTTAGAGATAAGTGAACAATGTAAATATGTTATTAATATTATTTTCATAGCAGTAAAGATTCATTAAAAAATTCATTAACAAAACCTTTTATCTTTCAAATTAGCAAAATAATTCAAAAAGCAACTTTTTTATTTATCTCTATAAAACTCAGATAAATCTTACCCATAATTGGGCAGAATTTGATTTATCTAATTCTGATATGTAATGACAGTAATTTGTATTAATATTGGTTTAATTTACTTAAATATTTTGAATCAACAGAAAGAAGAAAAAAATTCAAACAAAATTCTTAGAAAAAAATTTTCCGAGAAAATAACTGTTTATAATTTCAGACGACAAAAATGGCTTTATGTACCATGCATTTTGTATATGGAATGAAAATTAAATTTTTTTATTTAATGCAATAAAAAGAAAGTTCTCAAAAAAAGAAAAAAGTCTGAAGCACAAAATAGAAAAAGGAAATTGCAACGAGGGGACGCTAATGTGTAACTGGCGGAATTTCTAAATAAATATTTCAGAAACACAATAGGATTAGACGAACAAG